GGGGGGGGGGGATGGGCCCTGACTGCTCCTGGCCTCCAGCCCCTCCACCCCCTACCTCCGAGGGTGCCTGGTGCTCTCTCTCCCCTTTTCACCCCCTCTCCCTTATAACCCTCCTGAACCACCAGGGGCCACAGTCTGAGGCACAGCACCTCCATTGGGCCCGTTCCCCGTGGCACAAAGAGCCAGCAGAGGAACCGAGGGTCAGGATCCCACTGCTCAGTCGTCTCCCCCTGCCACCTCCCATCCCCCAGGCTCCTGGGGGCCCAGGCAGCCCAGCTCTGCAGACCCAGAGTGACCTCACACTGCCCTGCCCCAGGCCAGCCTTCCCACTGCCCAGAGGGCATCTGAGTTTCCCCCGAGTTTGGGGGGAGCATAGTCAGCCTTGATCCCCGCTGACTGGCGACTGTGGCTTTCACTGCAGACGACTCTGCATAGGACGGCAGCCCAGGGCTCCTCCCCACGTCACGAGAGCCATGCCCCCATCCATGGGAGATTACCTGGGCATCCCAACCCGACTCAGGTATGGCTACAGATAGGCAACGGGGGGGGGGNGGGCATGGGGGAGCTGGGCCCTCAGACCTGTTCTTTCACCAGCCTGAGCCTCAGCTCTCTCCTGGGAGTGGGGCTGGAAGGCCTATGACAGCCCGGCCAGGGGCCCCGCGGCCTCCCACACGCGGCTGGACGGGCCACTGTAACAGCACGTCGTTGAGCCTGGCCCCGTTGGGCCTCTCAGCCCAGAAGGGCGGGGACTCTGGCCCTGTCCCAGACCTGGGCATACCCAAAGGTGTGGGGGACAGCCAAGGCCAGGGGCCCGGGCAGAGAGGTGGCCCAGGCCCAGGAGGCGCTTACCCAGGCAGGTCCTGCCATCCACGTGGAGCCGGAAGCCGGGTCTGCACTCGCACAGGTAGGAGCCCGGCGTGTTCACACACCTGTGATGGCAGCCGCCGTTGCGCAGCTGGCACTCGTCCACATCTGAGTGGGGACACGGGGTCCAGGGTTAACAGCCAGTACCCACCAGGCTGCCCACCCACGCTGCGCTGGCCCCGGGGTCCCCAAACCAGGCCGCCTCACTGAGGACACCGCCCCAGGCCCAGGTGCCAGGACCCGATCCCGAAACCCTCCTTCTGTGCAACGAGCCACGAGCCCGCACTTGCCAGGCAAGGAGGAGGGAGGGTGGAGCCCGAGCCCCGCGCCTGGCAGGAAGAGCAGGACCCCAACCTGTGGGGTCAGCCAGAAGGTGGCTATAGAGGGGAGCAGCGGGGGTGGAAAGACCCTCCCCAGGGCTGGGGGCCCAGGGCCCGCACCTGTCCCCTTTCTGCAGGAATGCAGAGGTGTGGAGAAGGTTCCACTGGCCTCGCCTCACCCTCCCTCCAAGCCCACTCCTGCCAAGCTGGGCCCCGGGGGAGGCCAGGCAGCAACGGAGGCAGAAGGAAGGGGGGAGGCACCAGGCTGCCCAGGCACCGGGGGTGAGGCTGAACCCTGGAGGGACCCTCCTGCCAGGGAGACACGGAGAGAGGGCGGAGCGAGGCCTCTGCTCAGAGGCCCTGGAGTGAGGGCCACCTGCCCCCCAGGCACCAGAGCGGGAGGGCTGCCAGGGGGCGCCGTCGCAGGGGGACAGGCACACGGATGCTCCTCACTCGTGAGGGTCTACCGACCAAGAGTCTGGGGCAATCAGGTGACCAGCCTGGGCACCCCGGCGGGACAGCAGAGGCCCCGACCACAGACCAAGACTCACAGGGAAGCCACGCCAGCTGCGTGGCTCCACCGGGAGAAGCACTGACTTCGGGGGCAAGTCCTCAGCTGTGTGGAAACCCGGGCTGATGGACGACTCGCTCCCAGAGGCTGCAGAGCTGAGGTTCCCCCTAATTCTGCCCCATGACCCCCGGGTCCAAGCCACCCGCCCTCCATTACCGCCCCAGGAAATGCTGCCCGGGGATCCCGTCCCCAAGCCTCCCGCCAGGCCGCGCCTCCCACGAGGAAACCCTGCCCCCCGGCCCGTGCTCTGAGAACATGCCTGGGGCTCCCCCAGTGACTCTGCCGGGACCTCCAGGACCCCCTCCATGCACAAACCATGTCCACCCTGGGGAGGCTGCNGGCCCGCGCTCTGAGAACACGCCTGGGGCTCCCCCAGTGACTCTGCCGGGACCTCCAGGACCCCCTCCATGCACAAACCATGCCCACCCTGGGGAGGCTGCCTCAGAGGACAGGCGGGTGAGGCCCGCAGCCGCTCCGCCTGCACCAAGGGGACCTGCAGATGTCCTCGGGACAAAGCCAGGATGTTCAGAGGAAGGAGCAGGAAGGCAAAATGTTAACAGCCCCCAAAAGAGCCCTAGAGAGGCTCGGGGGACAAGAAGCCAGAGCATGGCAGGCGGCCTCAGGGCCCAGGGCTCTCTGTGGGAAAGTCAGCTGGGAGCAGCGGGCAGAGGGGCTGACCCATACCCGCTGGGCAGGGCAGGGCAGGGGTAGCACTGGGCGCACAGGGGGTGCTCAGGAAGCTTTGGGGAAAGAGGAGCCTTGATGTCATCTGAGGGGTGGACAGGCAGGTGGATCGGGGAGAGGGCACCGATGTGCCCCAGATGTGACCCCAGAGGCAGGCGCAGAGCCAGCAGGCTGGTGGGGAAGGTGGCGACTTCATGTTCACCCTGAGCTCACTCCAGACACTCAGCCAAGGAGAGGCTGACCTGGGTGGCATTACACTTGTCCCGGAACGGAGACCCTCCTGTGCCCTGAGGACGCCTGGGGGGCTGAGCCTGCCCTGGGGGCCGTGTCTGCAAGCAGCTCCAGGGCAGGTCTGCACGGCCCGACCAGGAGGCACAGGGAGCCCAGGAGGAGCAGCTGCCCGTCGGGCCAGCCCAGCAGCCCCACAGGCTGCAAGGACACCAAACAACAGTCTGGGAAGAAGCAGGTGGGAGATGCGGGGACAGGGGACAGCCCTTCAGTCCCTAGGAGCCGGCCTCCCTCTGTGCTCACACCTACTGCCCAGGGACAGCTCTCCCAGCGCTCCAGCTGCTTAGAGGCAAGTTTAGGCTCTAGTAGCCCACCCTCACACCCGGCCTGTCAGAAATCCCACCCCGGCCCAGGTAGGCCCAGGTAGGCCCCGGGCAAGGCCGCTCTGCCCTCCAGCCGCGGGCCCACCTCCACGCCCACTGCCACACCCCTGCTCCTGAAACCTGGGATGGCACCTGGGCGGCAGCCATGGAGCTGGCACCAGCTCGGAGTCCTGAGCTAGGTGATTTTAAGGAACAGCTGGGCCAGAGCTCTGCGGGAAAGTCCCCTCTGTCCCCTTGCTACCCTTGGCTGACAGGCATGACTGGGGACTTTGGCAGCCCCCAGACACGCTCTGCACACTGGCGCAGGGTGACATCACTGTGTGGCACTGGGCTGGTCCCCGGGGATCCTGTCTGGCCCTACAGTGTCTGCTGAGCTGGGGAACCGTGGTGCCTCGGGAAGCCCGTCACGAGGCTGCTGGGGGCCCATGGGGTCTCTCCCAACCGTCACCCAGTCACACCAGCTCTCGGGCCAGGAACACACAGCCAGGGTCAAGTCAGCTGCCCCGACAGGAACCACCCAAAATGAAGCCCGTTCCAAAGCCTCCTGTACTTACAGGAAAACGGAGGCCTCTGGGATCCTGCCAGAGCTCCACCCAGTGGTCATCAAGTCCTGCCACCCCCCCTAAATATGCCACAGGTTCTCACCCCCAGAGAGTGCACCCCACTATCCAGGGCCCATCCCCTTTCCCCTCCACAAGCCCAAGCAGGCCCCAAAGCAGGGCCTCCTGGCTCCCTAAGCCCAGCCTGCCCCACCCCAGACTTTGGATGCTATACAGTCTCGTGGCATTCAGTGCCACCCATGGGGTTGTGACAGCACTGGCCTTGCCTTGGGGACCTCGTGGGGACCGACCCTGTCCCCCAGCTGGCTGAGGGACAAAGCCTGGAGAGGCAGAAGAGTTTGCCACAGCTGAGGGCCTGCAGCTCAGGGACACTGTGTGCCTTCCGGTTTGGAGAGTGGCAGGGACTGGTCCAGGGGACAGCTGAGCAGGGCCGATGTCTCTAAAGAGACCAGGTGCACTGCACAGAGCTACACAAGGGACCTGGCGGGCCTGCTGCCCCAGGGATCCAGGTGAAGACTCTGGGAGCCCAGCACCACACCTGACTCCAATTCCTGGCTCCAAGCTCCCGGGAGCCTCCTGCAGGGCGGCTGGCCCGGCCTGGGTACCAGATCTGAACTGCAGGGAGAGGGCAGGGTGCACCCACTTCCCATAGGCAGCTGGGGTCCGCTCAGCTGACCCTGCAGCCCCCTGGGCTGACCGCACCCAAGGCTTGGGGTGGTGGAAGGGATAAAGAAGGGCACCTGCCACACCCACACACGACGCCCAAGGGGCCTAGGCTCTGAAGACCTTGGAAGGGGACACCCTGCTCTGGGACCCAGGGCCTCTCTCTTGAGCCCCAGGGCTACCAATGCCGGGCCCATGGGCAGAGGCCGGAGGATGCTTTCCTTCCCTCTGGCTGGGCGACCACCCTGCTGTCAGCAGCCCCGGCAACCAGCCCAGGAGGGGGCAGGAATGTCTGCCCGCCCCGCTCGGGCTGTCAGCACCCCGCGCAAACTTTAAAAAGAGGAAACAAAGGGCACGCAGGCGGTTCAGGGCCCCCGGGGGCACCGGGTCCACCGCCCCGCGCAGCGCCCAAGCCGCACCCACCTGGTCTCGGCTCACCGGCGCTCAGGGGGTAGCCGACCTGGCCCAGGTGGCACGGGTAACAGCCCCTCCAGAGGTAGCGGTAGTGCGTGCCCGCCACGCGCGCCAGGCCCCCCAGCAGCCCGAGGCACCAGAGCGCAGCCAGACGGCCGAGGCCCCGGGGCACCCCCATGGCGGATGGGCCGCTACGCTCAGCCGACCCGGCTCCGGTTC